TATCTTTTGGCTATTTCATGCAGATAATAATAAATGGGAGAGCCCCTGGGCTAAACTAAATAGACTTTCTCAAACAAAAGTCCTAATTCTGTTGGGTTTATGTCAAGCATTGATGCACTTAAGCTATAATAATTTCTTCTCCAACATTTTTACAGCACCTTAACACCTTGAAAGTCATTGCCAGCATCAGCTATGAATAGCATTGTCCTGAAATCCTTTATATTCTGTTGCAGAAACAAACAAATAATGCAATATATAGTGGGGGATATGTATTGTGTGAAGAATGTTATAGAATGTGAGGCTTGAAAAAGTAGCTATACAGAAAGATTGGGCTTGATCCAGGGACTACTGTCAGCAATAGGGATTTTAATTTCAGTGGGAGCAGGATCATGTTCTATGATGAAGTGCAAAAATACCCTTGGTGATCACATGAGAAAAGAGCATGAGCAAAAATTGTCTTACATACAAGGTGTGACTGTGACATAATATTGCATAATATGTTCCTTGCATCTCCCTCCCCTCTAATTTAAAACTAAGGGGTCATTTAACCCTTACACTAAATATGGGTAACCCTAGAGAAAGCCCATGGTAATTAAGTGTGGTTGGCATACACATGCAATATTACAGTAGATTGGAGCTATTGAGATATGTAAAAAGCATGGTAGACAACTTCTACAGCAGATGTGATTGGGTCACACTCTCTGAAAGTGTATTGAAATCTCATCAACTCTGGTGTGTCCAACTTCCCCTCTTGGCTTCTCCACACAAGCAGTGCACACCCGCTGGTCTGCCCCAGTCTACTGATGTAGGAAGGGAAAGTTAATTATTTTAGATTTAAAGTGATGCTAACCTTTGCGATTACCCACAAAACGGTTGGACCACCGTGGGTTGTGGTAATTTTTTTAATCTCTAATAAACTTCAGGTCCGAGGAGTTTTCTTTGCCTTCAGATGTCAGTTCTGATGAAAAGTACTCCAGGACTTCTGGTGGCCAGCAATGCATTCATGCCCTACCAAAGCCCCTGTAGTGTCCAGAAAACCTGCAGCCACTGCTATGAGACTACCATGCTCCAAAACTGGAAACCGGGGGTGGAGGAATAGCTCAGTGGTTTGAGCATTAGCCTGCTAAACCCAGGGTTGTGAGTTCAATCCTTGAGGGGGGCCATTTAGGGAACTGGGGTAAAAATCTGTCTGGGGATTGGTCCTGCTTTAAGCAGGGGGTTGGACTAGAAGACTTCCTGAGGTCCCTTCCAACCCTGATATTCTATGATTTAAAAAAGGACCAAAAAGGTAGCTTTTTAGGTGACCCCATTTCCCAGGCGTGCAGCAGGTTGATCTAAGAAGATGGTATTAGTAGTTATTGAGCAGGGCACTCATCAGCCTTAGGACTTCTCCACACAGTTTACTGTATCGATGCTAAACAGTGTTCAGTGAAGTCCTCGGCAGGACCACGGAGAGCTCCCAGTGCTTTGGCACTGAATAGACAGCTCCTACCACCTATTGAGACAGGTCCCCTGTAAACCCTCTCCTGCATCACACAGCGACTGTACCTTGCTCCTAAGCAAACCCATTCCATTCATAAAATCTAAAGATGAGCCCCACACTCCGTTCTGGGAGCAGGGGGATGTATATATAGACTCAGGCGCGCAATCTTTCCTGGGGTATTATTGTGCCTTATTGGTCGCCTGATTTTGTTGTTATTTTGCTGGGCTGTAAGAGATGCATCCTAAAACAGTGACATTGAAGAGAGTGGGGTGGGGCTTGGTAGGCAGGAGATATTTGTTATAATTGATATAAAATAATCTCATCTCAGCAGAGTTTATGGGAAATGGCACAGTCTGGAAACAGAACGGGATCCAGATCTCCCCCCCGCCCCATCTATCTACACACACACAATAGAGTTTCCATACACGGCGACTCCCCCACCCCCAGAAACAGCCCTTAAATATGTTTCCCTCCATGTCGTCAACAGCAAAGACCACTCTAGACAAACATGTCACCTACCATTAAATGTGCATAAAGGGCTGGAACCTCCCCCCCCCCCCCCGGCTTTAAACTGATTTCCTACGGGCTTCATCTACAATGCATATTACTTTGGTTTAATTGGCAACGCAATGCATTTCTTTGTACGTATCTGTACATCTACCTATGCCTGTATACATATATATGGACACACAAACACATTATGCTGCCTCCTCGATATTTCCTAGCTCGCCTTCATTCATATTTATGCAGCTATTAAATATTTGATCAAAGGTGGAATGCTAACGCAGATCGGTTGTATTTTTAATGTAAGCGCCTTAAAATAGGGTGTTTTGTAAATTGCAAGTGTCAAAAGATCCCAAGTGTAATCTCCCAGCCCCCAACCGTACACCCTCCCCCCGAAAATAATAATAATGCTGCAGATTGTAGAAGGATTTGAGTCTGCAGCCAGAGAGAAAGGGATTAGGGCGAGAGCACTGGAAGTTAAATTGTGCTGCATATAAAAAAAATGGGCGGATTGGTCTCTAGATGAGAGCTTGGTACCACCTTCCTTTCTAAAATAAAATCTCTCTGGCATGAAGTCACAGCCTATTTCACATCCGGTTTACCCTGGGACGTATTACTACTGTCTTGGTAAAGAGAAAGCTTTTGTTGTGTAGCTGCGGTCTGAATATTGGGAAAAGAAATTTGGGTGTTAAATCTCTAACACCGAAGCACCGGCAGAATCCATGATGGCTGAGACCGAATGACTGAGAAGCAGAGCCGGGGAAAGCAGCACAGCCTCTGCCGCTCTAAAGGCTCCTTACCTTCAAGCAGCCCTGATTTCTTGAGCGATTTTCTCTGGCGGACTTTTTCAGTAATTCTGCGAACCTGTGCCCAGAGGGGCTCTAGGTAAGAGCTGCTTATTTATCGCTAACAGACCTTTGATCGCTCGGGTTTTTCTAGAATCATATCTATGTATATAGATGACCAATTTCCCCCCCCCCAGCAGGTGCATTTCAATCCTTTCCCCCCCATCTCCGCCCCCCCCCCCAGGTTGAGAATCCGCAGCGATCGGTGGGCATTTTTACACGAATAGATCTGAAAATAGTCCCTTAAAAATATTTTTCGGGGGTTGGGGGGGTGACTTTCTCAGGGAGAGGTGGGGAAAATACAAAAGTTGAAATGCAGGAAGGAAAACATGTCTAGATCTGAGCCTCAGAACAAGGCAAATCTCTCAGCATGGATCAAGAAAGGCATTAAAATGCATTTTTTCCAATGGACGCTACTAAAATGATCAGAGATGTGTGAGTCTTTCTCCCATTTTGAATAGGAAAACTGAAGAATATTTAAAATAATGTCTGGGGTGGGGGTGGGCAGGTGAGGTTGGGGGAACTGGAATCACCTAATGCTCCTTTTATCTGTATGTTTCCATTTGCTCTTTTAGGCTGATAGAAACTTTACTTCTCCAGCAATTATAATGTCTCTATGGTTTTATTTAAGGGGGGTGGTTGGGAGAGCCCATCTGATCAAGGAAGACAGTTGAGATTGATTCATTTTTGTTACACTGAGGAACCTTTTGCAAAAACAGAAGTTAACAGTAATAGGAGATAGTGGTTTTGAGACTACAGATGTTACCTTTATCATTATAGGGGACATGATAATAGTGCAATTTAAAATGATGATCTCTATGGTTGTTTTCCTGTTACATCCAACTCACCTGTATCACATCCACCTAGATTAGCTCAAACCCACTGAATTTTTACCTTCTGATCATTTCATTATAAACACATTAATTGTATTTCATTGCTCATCTGATGCTCTGTAATGGTATTTTATTGATTTAAATTGTCCCTGAGAGTGTGCAATGAATTGGGGTAGATTTATTTAAAGATACAACAACAGGAAAATGTAGAGTGCTTCATTTTCTCAGACATTTAAAATATTCCAATTTATTCCTCATTTTGACTCTTAGGGGAAAATAGAGGTTTTAGATTTTTGCTTTTTTAAAATTCATGAACGCTGGAAAGTTACTGGATTCCAGCACACAAAAATATAGAGAGAGCCCCGCAGCAGCATCTAGCCAGCCATTTGAATGGTGAACATTGATTCCACCAATACCAGCGAAGTTTGTTTTCAGGCTTACTGGAAAAAAATATGTAGGGTCTGCTCACTTTTTACTTTAATTACCATCTGTTTGGATTAAATCCTGGGATAATAAATAAATAAATCAGGAGCCATTTGGAGAGGCAGGAAAAAAGACTGTTTACGCAAAAATATTTCCTAGCGTCAGCCAGTGAGAATGGCTAGAGATTTAGAAGACAGTATGTAGGCAATCAGCACATGGTTTGATTAATAAAGTGTGTCCTTTAGCCTGACGGAAGTATTAGTGTGCATATTTAGCAGCAGATCGCACAATGAGACTCCAAACATTACACTAGTTACACAATGATGCTTCAATAAACAAGAGACTAGAAACAGGAACGTCTCTGAAGAAAGTTTCCATAATATCCAGGTAAAGCATTATAACCAGGGACACTCTGCTCCACTCAGTCACTAGCAGAGATCCTAAATGGCAGATCTGCACTCAAGTAGGTAAAAAGCAAAAAAGAGCAAGAAACAAGCAATTGTATTTGGTTATTCGCAATATCATGAAAAACCTCAACATTAACACAGGAGGATACTGAACAGTGGCTTTTAAACTTATTCTGGGGCTAAGCATTTTAATTCAGTAATCCATATTGGTTTTTTTTTTTTAAGCTGAAAAGTAATATAAACAAGATTAAAAACTGATTGCAATGTGTGTGTAAATAAACAGTAATATTTCCAAGTCCAGAAAAGGAAGGCAAAGAGATGAATGGATGGGACACCATTTTTGTTTTTACTCTGGATGACGTGCCATAGCACTGTGAGGTCATTGACTGGCATCAAATTATTTAGCTAAAGTTACTTGAGTCCCGTTGTGTTTTCCAAAAGGACTGTTTTAATGCAAGGGTTGTTGATTGTTATTTATTTTCCTTTCCAGCATTCAGAGCCCACCATGAAGAGCATTCTAGCACTTTGTGACTGTCTTTGGGCCTGGACCCTGCTTTTGAATACACTGACTGGAAGAAGGTGGGGGGAAATATTTTAAACATTTTTGTTTGTTTGTTTGTTTGTTTGTTTTATTAAAAAAGACATTTGTAACCTTTACTTTGTTATAAGGGCATAAGAAACAACTATCACATGGACTGGGCTCTACTAAGTGTATTGGGGGAAGTTAATCCTTGTTCAAATCCCAGCTAAATCTAAATAATGAAGAGTGAAAGTAAACTACAATTTGTTTGCTTAACATCTTTATGCTAAAATTAAGAAATTCTTCAGCAGAAACTATTTGAACCATATTAAAGCTAAATTATCAATAAAATACATAGAAAATAATATGTTGTCCCTTCTACTCAAAGTTAAAGAGTATGAGAGTTTATTCTATATTTCAGTTGTGACTGTGAATCAAATAGAAAGGAAAGTGTAATGAAGGCATTTTATTTCAGTATTCTGGGCCAAATCCTGCGTTCACTGGAATCAGTGTCAAAACTCCCATTGGATGTGGATTGGGTCCTAATTTGTTTAAAAAAAAGGTGTTGGTTCCTGCAAATCCTTACTCATGAAACTAGCCCTTGCTAAGTGACAAAGAAGGTTTACATGCCTAAGAATTTGCAGGATCAGGCCCCATCACGGAAACCTTGGGTTTGAAAGTCCATGCTGTTTAATCCATATGTTAAAAAAAACTTTGTGTAGAGTTAGCATTAGTACTAGTACCATTCATGATCATACAATTATCTTATTTGATTATTAAACCTATGGGCTAAACTTGAGTATACTTGAAAAGGAAAGTACAATCCAAACTTCACTGGAGGGGGAAACTCAAAGATATATTTTATTGAATTTTAAAACATTTAAATCCTATCTATTATCCTACCTAATGAATGACTGTCATTAAAGGTATATTTTTCCCACTGTCAATGATAAGCCTTAGAAAATATTTTGTACACAGATTTCTATAATGTCTTTTATTCAGCAGCTCTAGAGAAATTTATCTCATGACCAACCAGAAAAACTTAGATAGATACAAGAGGATAAAAAAGTCTATTTTGTATGAGTGTTTCTTCTAAAAAATAGAGATGTAAACAGCATACGTATACAGTTTAATATATGTGTTGAACAAACAAGAAATATTGTAAAAAAAACCCTTGTTTAAAAATTTGTCTAAAAGGTGAGAATTTAAATTATTCTTTGGCTATTTCATTTTGTTTTTTCATTTGCTGGAGTATGTTGTGAAATTATGTTTCACTGGAAATATATTAATTGTGTATATTCTAAAGTAAGAATTAAAATTCATTTGACTGCTTTTGAAAAATTATATGAAGTGTCACTATTATCACGACCTGTAGATGGAGTTAGTGTACAGTGTTTTATTGTGCAGTGGTTTAATATGAAACCACAGTCACATACAGTAACTTTGATATTTTTCTTCGAAATATACACACCCCAAATTAAATATATCTGTTTATGAAGTCATTTTATCCAAAGCAACTTCACTTGCCTTTAATTCTAGATTTTTGTTAATTTCTTGGCAAGTATAGTATTCTAATTAAATACATTTTCTCTTATGTGGAAAGGTTACAGGTTTTCAATCAGATGGTTCTGTTCACAGAAAATAAAAATCAGTATTGGAGCTATTTTACCAAGAATGGTTTCCTGATTTTAGATAATCTACAGTGGAAAAAATCACTGTTACTTGGAATTTATAATGTATTATCTGTTACACTTGTGCAAACTGCTCATGTTATATTGATATGTCAGTTAATTAAAACCAAAACACCACCCAACCCATTTGCTTTTGGAAAAATAATGTGAAGAATAGATAAATGTACTTAAATTTTCACACCCAGAAACACAATAATGACATAATTATGTTTTATCACATCCTCTCAGATTACATTGCCATTTGTCCATCACTCTTTCCCCTCCTTTACCCCAGGGGTACACATTTATTTATTCTCATCAGCCTTACAAAAGTGAACTTTCTTCTACCTTAATCATGATGACCTTCTGCTCTCCTTGAGATATGTATGCACAGCAGTTTGTTTACTGACAATGAATGTTTATATAGAATTTAATCCAGAGAAGAGTCCTGTACCACAGCTCTATGTAATGCATTTGGGAATGGATCCTTTAAAATATAATGCATATGGGGAAAAAGTGTAATACACCAGCGTAATTTGTTAATTAACATATAAGTAACATCTGAAAAGATGTCTGAAAATATTTACATCTATCACTTATAATTTAAATTATCAGTTTAAAAAGGAACCCCATCATACTAGAAATATTTTATGTTTATGGTAGCTGAAAGGAAACGTGTTAGAATCTATTAATAATTTTTCATTTGGAAAGGTATTTGTCATTTTATTCTATTCATTAAAAACAGAACTGTAGATATCTTTGTTTACACATTCCTAGTAATAAAAGGAATTATATGGCCTTCCAAACAACACATGAAATAAAATGGTGGTTAAAACCCTGTGAATATAGGTTTTGTTAGTTGCTTGAATCTGTAGTTTCCTTTATTCAAAACCTCTTTGGAAATTAACATAACAGTGATTTTTCTGTCCCATGGAAAAAGGTCACGCAAACAGATTCTCCGTCTCCCCCCCCATTTTTATGCATGTGGGATCTACAAACAAGACTAAATTGATGAGGTTAAAGGAAATAATAGCATTTTTTTATAATTTGATCTTTTACATAACCATTACTTCCTTATAAAACAATCCAGGCTGGTTAGAACAACTAGGGCTGGCAGAATGCTGACC